CAGAGAGCATGCCCCAGAAACTCTCCCTGCCAACTACAGGGATGCATGATTTGTTGCACACCAACCAACCACGTTCGCAATCTGGACAAAGCACTGAGCAGCAGTGATACCTCCCGGACCTCGCCAACCACAATCGACCTCCCCCAGCCTCCTCCCAACCACACCATCCTGATCCTCACCAATGCATTCAAAAATGCAATTAGAGAAAACTGAATTTACACTCTGAATGCCTTATACAAACAATTCATCATCCAAATGGAAACCAACCTAGAATTTTTCATCCACGAACAGTATGACCTCTAAGCCTATTGCCAAACTGCCATAAACATCATCTATTCCCACACCACCATGTCCAACCCCCTAATATTCTCTCCGCCCCAACGAATGAACCCTACAACACCAGGCAAGCTTCAAGGCCCCCAAGCTTGATACACCAAACTGAAGTAGTAAGTACTGTGATTTTTACCCTTGGTTGTCAGCAGTCCTGAACAGATTCACCCTAATCAGAGTCGAAAAAATTGTAAAAGTGGCACTCACTCTGCAGGTCATCCCAATGAGTAACCAAGGACCCTTCAATAACATCACTGACTGGGACACCTTCTGGGTGATTGATTGATAAATTTGGGAGTATTGACATCTTTGGCATAGACGTCAACCAGACATTTGACCTCCTCCCTCAATATGAATCTGTCCAAGATTTGGCTGAAGACCTCTCCCCCAAGATCAAGACTCTTCAAGCTAACCTGGACATCATGCAGGAATTCCCACAAAAAGGAATACCTTCACAGTGTCGCCCTCACCAAAACACTGGTCCAGAACATCATGAGAAGCCTCCCCTTGGATGTGAGGCTGTCCTTCAATTACCAATTCTCTCAATTCTGAGGACAGTGTCCAGACAATGTCCAACCTCCAGCCACCTTCCTGTTCCTTGCACAATTTGTTTACAAGTTGGAGAAGAATTACAGATCCAACTCTTATCTCTACGACCTCGACCTCACTCCCTCAAGTATAGGTGTCAAGCTGACCAGCAAAGTGCCCTACCATCATCGCTTCTAAACCCCATCACTTCAGATGATGTCAGAGAGACTTTTCCGTTAATTTGGCCAATTTCAAACTTGGACATCAGTGGCTTGTCAATTTTTTTTCCTTCTTAGGCAGTATTGGTTTCTTGATTTTTCTTTCCTTAGATCAACAAATATTCAGCTTTGATGAGGAGGGGAAAGCAAGCGGCCATGAGCCACCAATATTTCCTCCTTCTGTCCACAAATTAGCTTTTTTCTCTTCCAGCAGCCATGAGCCACCACTATTTCATCTTCCGTACCACCACATTTGACTTTTCCGGGCAAAACTACTTTTTTAAATAGTACATTTAGGGCCTTTAAAGTGTGATTTAAAAAAATCCAGCTTTGCCTGTAGTGCAACACGTCACAAGTGCCCAAAACCTCCATCATTCCATAACAGAAGTGCCAAGATTTTCCCAAGCAGAAGTGCCAAACTGATTATGGAAATAAGTGCCAGACTGGATACGGACAGCAGTGTAACACAAACTATAATGAAAAGGGAATTTTTTGGGGATTTGTAAGAAAACTCCATTTTGACACGTGGCCATTTTCCCTTTTCTGGCTTTCTGGTTACGCTTAAAGTGTTCCAATATAAAACAATGAAATGAATGTTGTCTTCACTTTC